TATATATACATATATAGCATATATAGCATATATAGCATTATCAGTAATTAGCGCCCTTGTGTCAGGATTGCTTCATCATGAAATAGCGAAGAATAAAGATTTAGAACTGTGAAATCATTCAGTTAAGCTACAGACAGACGAACGTATTCGTTAAATTTTTCTGGAATATCATTTACAATTAGAGACTATTATTAAATGATATTTATAAATAAAATATTATTCATATTCTTGAATTAGGTAACACAACAGGTGGTTATTGAGTGATACGTTACTAATATATGTGAATATAACACTGTTAAATGGTATCACAGTTACTATGTTGGAATCAACAAATTATATATCAAGTGGTTTACATGTGGGTATAATATATTTTATAAAATTTAATTTTTATATCATATAGCATATAATAAAGTTTTTATTTAAATGTAATTCCAAGTTACCGAATAATTTTATTTCAACAATAGTTTTAACTTGAAATTAGTAAAAAAGTGGTAGTACAAAATTTCTATATTAAATTATGTAATAGATGGTTATGTTTAGATAAGATAACGTAAGAACGTATTTAGCTGTTATCAATCAAAATGATTATTTTAATAAATCTTTTACATAATATCTTTATTTACCTAATCAAATTTATAAATTGAACAATTTGTATAGAAAATGAAACAAAAATATTTAAATTGAAACAAAAATATTCATTGAATCTGTATTATTTCCATTCAATGGATAATCTTATAAATATGTATGAATAAATTCATTAAGTACTTGTAATATGTATTTATTAGGGATTTACTAATCGTTTTAGATGTTAGAAATAAGATTTATTATTTCGATATAATAAAAGTGTTACTTGCTAGAAAATACAAGTCATTTTTAACAGCTTTCATTTGATATAATACTATTTGTCTTTTAAAATAAATAAATATATTATCTATTATAAATTATTAATACAGTGTGATGCTATAGCAATAATGTAGTAAGATTTTGGTGTTATGACATATTTTTTAACAATTATAAAATAAGTTTTCTTTAATATGCCATCAATATAATATGTAAAGCTACATTTATTTCACGTTTATAATACCTCTAGTAATATAGCTATAAATACATTGGAATAGTAGAACTGTTCTTAGATCGAGGGAAGTAAGATCTATTTTAAAGGGAAGCGCCCTGTATTTGACCCCATGTAAAAGCCGGCGATTCCTCGAAGCGTATGCACAAAAATTCTTTAAAAGTCGGTAACAAATCGTGGTCGATTCTACTCTTGTTTATAAGTGTACACTCAGAATTTTCTTTTATTTATCCTCTCTATTTCCTCTTGTGGTTACGACCTTAACCTCGTTTACGATATTCTTTTACCAAAGTCTTAACCACGTGTTATTTTATTTATGATGTCACGTTTTCGATTATTGGTAAGTCTATTTAAATAAGAATATTTTGAAAATATCATAAAGCATGATTTATATTAATAAAATCTTCCAAAGGAAAAATTTTATTATAATATAATTGACTTGTATGATATTTATGAGTAACTTTTTCAAGGTATTGATTTTTTATAATAGTTTATTGTTATTTTATTATAAATAGTAGGATTGAAAAAGACTGTAACAGTATTTATAAGATAACATTTCTTTAATAACTTAAATTATTCACAAATTGAAATTTTTATTTATTATTGTAGAAGGATTTTGTAAATACTTATAATCTAATATACTTCTATGGATCAAACCTTAATGATGATTTAAGTTTTTTCTAAGTTTTGTTATTAATATCTTTTTTAATTAGTATAATTTATTTTAAACTTATGTGCCATAAATAATGAATACGTGAATATATCCAATTAAATAATTAAAAAAAAAAATTACTTGATAAAACAATAATACATACATATATTTATATTCTGATTTATTGTTTTTACAAATTTTGTTTTCAAAATATTTAATTTTCATATTGTTTTTTAGGTTGTATCAGTATTAACTGCTGTGGGAACCATAGCTGCAATAGGATTAGCATTTAAAGCTTACAAATGGAGCAAAAATAAGAAAACAAAATCTCCAATTCTACTTGTTCAACCACTAGCTAAATATAGTTTACCATTAATACAAAAAGACATATTAAGTCATGATACAAGAAAGTTTAGATTTGCATTGCCAACACCAGATCATATACTGGGATTACCAATTGGTCAGCATATACGTTTAACAGTAAAGATTGAAGAGGATGTTGTTATACGTTCTTATACACCTGTATCAAGTGATGATGACCATGGTTATGTAGATCTTATTGTTAAGGTAATTAACATGTTGGTTAAAATATGATTCATATATAATTTAATATTACAAATAAAAAATAAAAAATAACATAAATTAAATAAGTATAATTTAAAAAATTATAAATGAAAAACATGTATTTTAGGTGTATTTCAAGAATGTACATCCAAAATTTCCTGAAGGAGGAAAATTATCTCAGTACTTAGAAAATTTGCAAATTGGAGAAACGGTTGATTTTAGTGGACCTTCTGGTCGGCTTATTTATAATGGTCATGGGAAGTTTTCCATAAAAATTTTTAGGAAAGATCCACCTGTGGAATATGATGTTAAAAGAGTACATATATAAACTTTACATAATTGTATTTTCTATCTATGAATTTTAATAAGTAATTATATTATTTTTTCTGTTAATACAGATTGTAATGCTAGCTGGTGGAACAGGAATTACACCAATGCTACAATTAATTCGTGCTATAGTAAAGGATCCTACAGATGAAACACAAACTTCTTTACTTTTTGCCAATCAAACAGAAAAAGACATATTACTTCGTGATGAATTAGATGATATTGTTAAAAATCAACCTAATAAATTAAAAGTTTGGTATACATTAGATACTAGTAGTGAAAATTGGCCATATAGTACAGGACACATAAATGCAGATATGATAAAGAAACATATGTTTCCACCATCATCTGATACAATAGTACTTATGTGTGGTCCACCTCCAATGATAAACTTTGCTTGTAATCCCAATCTTGATATACTTGGCTATGATTCAAAGTTACGATTTGCATATTGAAGCAATAAATTAATTATATCTGTTGCATTCAAATGTAGATTACAATTGGCTTGTTAGTATGACCTGTTGTTAAATAAGATCCATGATTTTAATTTTTTAAAAAACATATTTCATTATTTTGTATGGACCAGATATTGGTCAAGATATATAAGTAATATTAGTTATTTGAAAATATATGTTGTCATAAATATATACTGATATTATTTATACAAGAATTACTAGGATACACTAATTAAAATATGAAAATATACAAAAGAATATTTATTACACACCATAAGATCGATTATTTTTAAAAATGAAAATAAAAATGTAATCGTATTTTTATTGTAGATTCCATATTTGTTATAAATAATATTGTTAATCATTTTTTATTAAAATTTTTAGTTTTATATAAAGTACGTTGCCAATGCAGAGCTTTAATGAAGAAAGTATACAGATTCAAGGTATCAAGCATTTATTGATGTTAAAACGATGTATTGTTATAAAAAATGATGATTATAAAATGTTCTGATCATTTTATAAGTCCCATCCATATTTTTTTTGAACAGCGATGCAACATTTGTAATGTAAAATATTGCATATTATAACATTCAAGAAATTATTATGTTGACATCAATTAATATCAATGTTTATTAACAAAATAGATGAAGCTAAACTGATTAGTATTTGATCATAATTTGTATTATGAAAAAAAGCAGTGCAAATAAAGCAATGAACGAGTGTTTATGTAATTAACAACGTCCACGGTCCTTAACGCGCTTTCTGGGTGCCGCTCGTAAAATATCATCCACGCGTAAAATCATTTCTGCTGCCTCCGCTGCGCTAAGTAAAACTTGCCTCTTCACAGCCCAAGATTCAGTTACTCCTAATTGTTTCATGCAGCCTATTTTTCCTTGCTCCATATCTATTAATATACGATAGAAGCAAATAAGTAATTACTCATTTTTCGTATTTTTAATAATAATAATTATATTATTTAAGAATAATAAACATACCCAAACCCATGGTATTTGAACTAGAATTATGTGCAGCTCTCAACTCGCTAATTAGTTGAGCTGAATCATAACCAGCATTATCAGCAATAACAGTAGGTAATTGTTGTAATGCCCGAGCAAAAGATTCCATTGCAACTGCTTCTTTCCCAGGAGTAGAAGCTGCAGCTTTCATTACAGCACAAGCCATTATCATTTCACTACAACCTCCACCATAAACAATTCTTGATTCGCGTACTGTAGCTGATAATACGCAAAGGGCATCATGTAAAGATCTCTCAGCTTCATCAAGAATTTGTTGAGTAGCACCCCTAATGATTATTGTACAAGCTTCTCCCAAAGCAACTCCAGAAAATCGTAGCAAAGTATCTTCACCTATCATCACCTAAAAAAGTAATAAATCTTTAGAAACATCGCGTTCTTTTAATTAGATTGAGACATACCTGTTCAATAAGATCGCATTTTCCAAGTTTCACCATCTCAGGGTTATCAAAGGTACTAACTATTTCTCCACCAGTAACAAGAGCTAATCGTTCAATACCATCAAAGTCAGCATGCTCAATAGCCATGATATTAACATCAGCAAATAATTGTTCTGGATAATTATAAATTAACTGTCTATTGACAAAAACGTTGCATCCATGTTTTATAATCTTTTCAACTTTATCCTAAATTGAACATAATTATCACGTGATTATAAATAATTAAATTTAACTTTTTTGTTAACCATAATATAATATTATTACTTTCATTTTCTCCTTCTCTGCTGCTTCTAATTCCGCAATTTTTGCCATTGAATCAACTCTAACTCTAGAACCAAATACCTGCAAAAGTATTGAGCATGCAAATTAAAACATACATAATTATTATACACTTATATTTTTAAATTTTTTACTTACCTTGATTTTATCTGTATCCATAGGAGTGTTTGCTATAAGTATATGAGCATCAGTTACTCTTTGTGGCTGATGTACTCCAGGTTTTTTATCTAGTAAGAATCCATCATCCAAAAAGGAATCAGACAAAGTTCCACCGCGCTTTTTAATAACTTGGATAGCTGACAAATTGCCAGATCCTTTAAGACGTAATACAGCATCTACTGCAAGTTTGCTAAAGTGTTCTTTGTGTTGGGATAAAATTTTTGAACTCAAAGTTGTGCGGGCAATATTTAACAAATCTTCACGAAAACGTTCAGGATCTGCAGAATTATCAGTTGCAGCATTTCTTAGAGCTTCTCTTGCTACATTAGTTGCATGTCTCCAGCCAGCAATTATAGTTTGTGGATGAATCTTTTGATCAATTAATTTTTCAGCTTCTCTTAATAATTCAGCAGCTGCAATAAGAAATAATTATTTTAAATGTTGCATATTAAATATTCATAGTATTACAATATTTTTACTAATTTTGTATATTACTTTTAATACAAGACTTTGTCATGTTATATGTTAATAATATTAAAGAAATTAAAATAATTATACTAACCAAGAACAGTTACAGATGTAGTTCCATCACCAACTTCATCATCCTGTACACGGGACATATCTACTAAAATTTTAGCAGCAGGATTGTCCACACCAACATTTTTAAGAATGGTCGCTCCATCATTTGTAACTTGAACTTGTCCTGCAGATCGACCATGAGCCACTAATATCTTATCCATACCTTTAGGACCAAGTGTAGACTTCACTAAATCACCAATAGCTATTGCCCCTACAAATAAACTCAACCGGGCAATCTCTGCTTTCTCCTCTTCTGCATCATTTTTGAGAATCCTGACTGGATTCAAGGAAACCTATAAATGTCCATTTAAAGTTTTATAATTAACATTATTATTAATACCAATAAAAATTGTCCGTACATGTTAACTACGTAATGCAAATTATTTCATCTTAATTACACATTTCATTTTTTATTTTTCTTTATTAATTTATTATTCAATAATGCGATGCAGCATTTATATAATTATATAAATATACAATATTTATAAGCTAGGATTTACTTAGACTATGATATTACATTTTTATGAAAACAAATTTTACTAAAAGAAGTTAATATTACGTTCGGAATAAAAAAATTTTTCTATTGACACACGTGCGCCATTTGTCACACCTTTATACAATACCGGGTAATGAAAGTTAACCCAATATCATTTCACTTTTGACATTATTATAATAATAATATTTTATGATGCGCACCAAAAATATAAAATCAATTAATTACCATTTCGAGACACTGCTAAGGCAATAAAGTACAATTAATGATCGAATAACGTTAGTCCAATTCCACTCCAAAGCACAATTATACGAAATTGTCGATCTGCGAAATTGTAGATGGCGCCTCAACTTAAAACGCCACATATATTTTCTTCATATGTTCCGTCTTAAGGTTCCTTGATTGGTTAATACAAAAGATTCAGATTACTTAAGACCAATCAAAAACGAGTTTAAATTTAAGAATAGAAAGTGACTCTCATCACTGAATTTTAGTGAACACCGAGAAATTTCTGATGTAACGCGTATATGTAGATGGCGCGCCATTCTCGAATAATTGATCTGGTTCAGAATTTATTTCCTTTTAAGGTTCGTAAAAGATATAATATGAACGAAAGAGCACATATTTTTCTTTTAGTTATTTAAATGTCTGATTAAAAGTATGTATATTATTAATTACATTTAGTTACATTGAATTGTTAAATAGAAATAATATTTACGATTTCTTTTCATCTTGGTGCACTTGAATATTAAATTATTAAGAATTATCATCACCATAAAAAGTTCATCAATATTTTTATCATTTAATTAATAAATATGATGTAAATTTTATTTTATTTTGTTTGGTATACAAAGAATACAATCCATAAACTAAAAATGCAAGTTTTATGGTACGCAATTAAATTCATTGATTCATTTTTAGATGGGAAATTAAATGTACATATACAATTACAGTTATCGAAAAATACGACAGCACGATTAAAGTTCTTATGTCTCTTTTTGGAAATTTAAATTTCATTGACCAATCTCTACAAACGCGTGCTCGATGGCTCGCGCACACCTTTCAATAACGGTTTGCATCCAGCTGTCCCCCATTTCATACGGATCTTTATATACAATAGGGGTCGTATAGACCCTTTGATGCTTTCATGGGAGTGTAGCTGCAGACGGTCTCGTGCATATGTGACGTTTCAAGCAATGCCATAGGACACTGGTCGTTACAGAATAAACAACTTAGATTATCGATAATGAACGAACATACTGTCACATATCGATTATTACTTTTTTAATATTCTTGAAGGTATCTGTATATCTCTTTACCATTTTCCTTTCGATAAAAAGATGTCCGAGGATGCGCGCGCAATAACAGGTTTACGCGCGAAATTAGCCTTGGCATTTTAATAAAGCTACATCTTCACATTTTGATCATTTTATTTCCATTAATACATGCACACACAACATGCATGTATACCACGATACGGGTGCTGCATATGCAAATTAATAGTCGCGGTTGCACTTTCTTTCGTTTGTTGTATTCACATAATCTCCCTTTTCATTATATCGTAAAAGAAGCTCCAAGTTACATACGTGATCGGAAAGAGTATATTTTCCTAATCGACTGTGCAGTGTAATTAACGGTATTAGGAGACTTATATCGTGCAACGTTACCAAGAACTTATTAGTACATTCAAGAGCCTCCTACATTCAGAGATTCTTCGTTCAGAAGAATCCATTACTAATAAAATTCCAATGTGTGAAGTCATCGATCCACGAAATGATTACTGAAAGGAAAATAGGAAGCCACGTATTTTTCTTCTGTTCAAGTGATTTGTTCTTATGGTCCATCGATATGATTTAAATACCCTTCGTGTTGTGGATAAACATAAAAGGTACACAAAAAAGAAAAAAATAATAAATTATTGTTTCATAGTCGTATATAAAATACACTGTAATAAATGCAACATCATTATCAACATTTTATAAATTTTGAACATGTTCTAATCCTACTACTGTTTCATGCTAATATGTAAACGATAATTAATTGTCAAGAGTGGAATTATCGATAATGCATGAAGTGACTGACTCATAAATTCGATCGATCGAACTGAATCGACGATTAAAGTCGCAAACGACACAGACCAATGAATCATCCACGCACACAGATGTACGGGACACTCATCACTGGAAGCATTTTACACAGATGTTCCTGCGGCGCGTGCCCTTAGATCCGGTGGTGGTGGAAATGCCTCTTCGGCCTGTTTTACAGGGGGGAACCGACCCCCACGTGTACATATATACACAGGAGAACGATAGAGAGTTGGGAGTCACACCTGGCCCTTAAAAATAGCATTGGCGTGATTTCGTGATGTCGCTCGTGACGCACATACTGCATCCTTGCGATTACCATATCTTTTCTTTCAGATCCATATTTTTGAAAATTTTATTTTTGTATTCGTGATCGTTCGTGATCGTTCGTGATTTTTGATATATTTTATTTTATTTCATATTTTCTTATTAATATTTTTACTTGTTCTTATTTAACTTCTATTCAAAATGTTTATTTTAGGATAATCACTTATGATTACTTTACTTGACAGTAGAAGAGAAATTATTCCAATTCATTCCTGTTTTAAGTATGTATGTTAATTAACTATATATTTATACTTAAAGACGCAAATCTTCTTTCATCACGAAAACCATAGTCAGTGTATATCATTTTATAATTAAAAATTCTACGATAACTTGAAGGTATGAAGTAGTGCTCTGTAAGAATACATACTACTTATTTAGGTTAGAGTTTTAAATTTTTTCATTTTTTATATTATGAAAATTATAAAAATTTGTTGAAAAATTTTTGAAACTTTTGAAAATTATCTTATATTTTTTACAGAAATTGGAATATCTGCATTTAATCGTTCTACATTTGGAAAATCTAATCGAATAGACTTCCTGTTCACGCCACTGCAGGCTCTGCGCGAAGAATGCACCTAGTTACGCTTTGGCGGTTACACATGGGGTACACGGGGGTTCACGTACCGAGTAGAGGCATGCACCCCGTGGCGGCGACAAAAGAGAAGGGGAGGAGCTCTATTTTCATACGAGTTGGCTTACGAGCTCGCGGCGGGAAGGGAGTGCGACTTATGGGAGGAAGTCGGAAGCGACCCGATCCGAGTCAGTCGTTCGCGAAGCATCAATACGTTTAGATCGATCAATCAATGTTTTCGTGTATCCGATAAATTATCGATTTAAATCATAGATTCTGAACAATCGCTACATCGTTACGTCCACTGCAAATCGTTAAATATAAATACACGTCAAACGTGATAGTGTTTCATCAATGACAAAACTCGATGATGAACTTAAAACTCACTGAAAATTGAATGAAATTATTTCACAATTTATCAGCCACTTTAAAATTTTGGTTAAACTCGCTTAGTTAAATGTTGATATTTTTACGTTTTTAGTTCAAACGATAAACAGTGCAATTTGCATAGAAGTTGTTGACAAGATACAATTGAAAAAAAAGAGGAGTAATATTCAACGAAAGTGTCAAAGGAATGTTCCTGGTGTTAATGTGAAAAGCGGTCGGATTCTCCATGGGGGTTGCGACGGACACCATACGGTTCTCCGAGCACGCGACCAGTGGGAGGGTCGTTCCGCTCTACTGAATCGTGAAACCACCCCAGTTTGGCATCGTATTGTTCCACTGCTCATCTTCGTCGTTAACGTCGAAACCAAACCATCTAAAGAACTTTCTTAAGTCATTGAGACCAATCTTTATTTCAACGAGTTCGACGATAAACACTTTGTAGAACGAGATTGAAATTGTCGCGAAAGTTGGTCGAGGAAAGCAAATAGAGAAGATGAGCGCGTTCAAGAGACATCAAAGCAAAGTGTTCTGGAGCCACATGGCGTCTCGGGATCTAGAAAGTGTGGATCCTTTCGCTTCGAGGAACGATTTCGCTAAAGTCAAGCAAAATATTGCACGTAATTTCGAAATTGCCGAAGAGGAAGCGGAGGATCGATCGTCTAGCATAAACGATACCAGCTACACGAACGATTCTGAAAACGTAACGGCGATTCGCGTCTTGCCGAACGAAAACGAGGAACGACAATATACAACGACGACGATAGACGAGGAAAATTTAATGACTCAGACGTAAGTGAAATTACTGCAATCGGGATGAAATTTCTGACGTTGTAAGTTTATTCTGTCGGGCACGTTTGCTCGCCTATTATCGGTTCCTCCTTATCACATTGACACACAACGCTACGTTCGTACCGCTGCTTTAATTATTTCAGTTTCACGACCGTACGATAAGTATTCAAGCATTGAAATCGTTCCAAAGTTGTTTTATAACGTTAGACCATCTTCCTGGGAGACACGTATAATCATAATAATGTTTGATAAACTGAGCATTGTTCCCATACTTAGTCGTTCTTTATCCTGTTGTAGGTATTGAATCTTTTTAAGTGTTTCTTTATTTTTGCAAAAATAATTGATTTTAATGTATCATTATTTACATATAATTTTGACAAATTATTTATATTACGATAATTATCTATTTCATTTTTTCCAATAATTCTTTGTCTCGCCTAAATATAACTTTATCGGTATCGTAAATTTTTAGTCCAAGGATAAAACCCATGTATTATACAAATTGTTATTTTAGATACTTTGTTTGAATATGACTATGGTTCATAATATATTGCTACGCGAGTTTATAATACATTGTTATCGTTTAATTAGTATTTTACATTGGTTCATTTCGCCAAAATTTAGAACTTTGTTGTATTCAATTGTATCTTTATTTAAAATACGTGATCCTTAAAAATTTGAGATCTATTAAAGCAAATTATTTCATATATCATTTAAATATTAAATATTAGCTTTAAATATTTTCAATTGGAATGCAAAATAATCATAGTCATCTGTTTTGTCAAAAATGTTTACAGGGTTACAATGGAAATAAAGGACGAAGACAAAGAGGACGAAAATAATACGGCTTTGGCAAATAGATCGTGCAGTCCTTTGAGTCAAGATCTTCGAAGTTTGGATTCCGGCTTCTCTGATTCTGAGCTATCGAACTGCTCCGAATTTTGCGAAAACGAAACACCGATGCGTCGAAGAAGACGGAAGCGATTTAAAGATCGGCGACATGGAATGCATTCAAGAATCGGCACTCTTTGGTTGGGAGACGAGGCTATTCCAAATCCAACGTACACTTCTACACCCAAGGACTCTAGAATTCTACCTCGAAACACGATGATCCTTAATACACCTGTAGAAAGAGAAGTGTCAAAAGCACGAAGGTAATTTAAATATACAAAAGTCAGTAAGAGTCACGTAGTCACAAAAAGTCATTGAACGATTTGAATCAGATACAGAGCCATGGCCAGATCTGTTCTATATGAAGATTGTGCACAAAAATATTTTTAAGTAATTTAAAACAAGCCTGATAACGAATCATATATATACATTACCGCACGTAAATACGTATTTATTTACATATTCTTTAGCTTAACGTAATTAAAAAATACTACCAATTTTTTAAGAGAATAATTCCTTTGTAAAGAACACATGACAATGAACCTTTAACGTTGTGTACTAAGAAACATATTTGTTTCATATTCAACTATTAAAGTGGTAAATATTTCCTCTATGAAAGGTAAACAATTCTACAAGATAATACTATGGATGGTAATGTACAAATATCGTGATCACATGAGAATACATTTCATATCCAGTATATGTTGCATACACATACCAAAGACTAATATATCTTAAGTTCATCACTCTAATTACTACCAAGGAGAAAATAAGAAAATGAGGAAAAGTGTATACTATGCAGATTATTTCCTTATTATTTCTCATTATGGCTATTACTTTCTGCAGTCGTTTCAAGCTCAGAATACCTCCGCTTTGATCAATAATGCCATGAAATTAAGGGGTCTCATACCAAAGGGCATTATCTCTGAAGGCGAGCCGCACCTTGTAAGAGTCGATAAGGTGTGAAGGATGTATGTTTTAAGAACATGAATCGTCACGATAAATGTCCCCTGGGTGAGCCAAGCGATAGGAATGCAACACGTAAGGCACTTCCCATATTATTCTTCTGGTTGTTTCGTAAACTCTCGTTTACCCCTATATGATGACGGAACACCGTATGCTTGCGTATGCATGTGGATCGGTCATCATTCTGTAGGTGCATTGGAAGTAGCGCAACTCATCGTTGGGAATATTAAATACTCATTATACAAAACGTGTCGCGACGAAAACGACTCGGCTCGCACTTGATTTATGACACGAAACGTAATGAGCAGAATTTCTGCGCGATTTGATTGCTTTGGTGAAACGTATTATGCGTGATTGAAATTCTTTAGTAGGAAAAAGGAAATGGTGTTTCATACCATGGTTACAGATATTATATATATATAATAATTTATCGTTTTACAATTTTGTAACGATTACTATAGATTATTTAATGACTATTGTATATTAGTATTGCTGGATTAACTGTTCCTGTACGAATAATGATGCACTCTGTTGAAATGTGTGTAGTATTAGTATTATAAAAGCAGTTAGTACTTATTATATTATTATTATAATTTTCTCGTCGATTCTGGTATAAAATTTTTAATTTCCTTTTTAGATAGAAGATGGCCTTTCCAAATTTTGCTATTTGGCAATGTGAAAATTGCAAGATCAAAATCTGTAAAGATTAGATATTCAAATTAATATTTTATATTTCTATGAATACGTAATTAATATTCGAAGAAGTCGATGAAAGAATTAATATGTACGACTTGTCTGAGATGAGTGAGTCGACATCCCTTATGAACTCGAACGGGATCTGAACGTAAATGGGACAAGTGGGAAAATACCACAACATATCGTCAATTAACATCGATTAATATACGTTCGACCATTTACAACGTAAATTAAACCCAGTGTCTAGTTCAATCTGGTATTCAGCGTAACTTATAGAATCTACATTAATAGGAGGAAATACTGTGGAAATGAACGATCGATTTACATACTTGGTTTATTACGTTTTGTCTTATGTAACATTAATGCTTAGAGGATTTCTTGCTCTTTTTCACCGTTTACTACTTTTAAAACTGTACACAGACTGCAATACTAAGTGAAATAAGCCTTGCTTCTTTATTATATATATAAAAAAGAATTAATTTGAATTTACTTTAGAAAAAGAGCTTGGAAAGCTAGATCTACATATATTACTATCTTTTGATATTAAATATAAAGGGACAATATTATACAGGCTAACTAGAAAGAAGTTTTAATATATTCAGTTTTACTCGTCTTCCTAATTTTCAATCGCTATCATGCTAGATTTATCTCTTTGGTAAAACGGAGCAATCACATGACACAAAAGAATACCAGAAAGCTTATTATAGTACTCCAAATCAAACAGTCATTGTAAGGTACTTTTTTAAACGTGACCATGAAGAAAGAATGAATATAAGGAAATTCTAGAATATTACATAATATTCTCCAATTATATAAAATAAGTATATGACATCAAATAGCTGGATATAAAGGATGCGACATGGTCATACGAAAAATTGATATTCTTAGATTCCATTATCTATTACATAAGGATATTCATTCATTTTACAGAATAGCTCCACTTGCATGGAAGTTCTAATCTCTTATTTTTAATCGTAGAAAGTTTAAAACGACATAATATTCGACAAACAAAAATAATCAAATACTACAAAATTCTACTTCATTTTTATGTCTACATCAATAAAAGACATATTTCTTTTTCCTCAATTTGGCAACCATGTAGTGGCTAGGCACTTCACTTTGTTAGTTCACCAATTCCAGTTTAATATATAACAAATTTTGAACTCACAATTATTATATATTATATAATCCTACATCCTCTGTAAAAAAAGAAAAAAATTTTGCACCATATTTTCTAAAAGTTCAAAATATAATATAAAACAATAGAAACCATTAGAAATATTAATCATAAATTTGACAAAGGTGCAGATATTAAACTAATACTCCAATATTTACTTCTACACACAAAGAAATATAATTGCCTATATCTAATTATTATTTAATCATTGAATTATCGTAATTACCAAATTACAAAGTTTTAATTACCATTCGATTATTACAAATATGTACACATAATTATTTTCATCGTGACGCTCTAATTATCACTACCTGTATATACTATATTCGAGTACACATTACAGATCCATAGTCTTAGAGCTGAACATAACGTCGAAAAACGCTATTTAATTCCGGACAATCTAACGCATCATAGATCCACCAAGGCTATGAGACGCGTTTCTTTCAACACCCTGTAGATGTACGCGCGCCTGTACGTGATTCAATGCAACGTGCCACACGAGGAATACCTAAATGAAAGAACGACGCGGTTTGAGTCAACCACGGCCCCTATGTGTCCCGGTGCGACGACAGCAAACGTACGAAGAATTCCAGCTACCGCGTGGATCGTGTGCAGGTGATGGCGCGCAGCTTAGTCAAAGAAATGGGATTAGTCATCGACGTCCGTGAGAGAACGATTCTAGTTCCGGAGCTGACCGATTAGTCAGCTTTTTGCACTATAATACATCCGTTTCTTCGTCAATCATCAGCTGTTAGACGACGGAATCCGTGCACCTGGTTATGCGTATTGGACAGTGGTTAGGTCTTTACTATGCCGCGGCGACAGTAGTTGAGACTCCTGTCTCGTTATGGCGCGATTAAGGTACCGTAGATCCTTGCTGCAATCTGGGTCACCCGTGATCCATTTGTTGGAATTTAATGTTTCTAAGTTAAGTGAAGATGCTGTTTCATTAATCATTGGAGCAAACTGGATAATTACTCTGTTATGACGTGATTAAGGTATCGTAGATCTTTTACGAATGCAGTGATCTTTGAAGGGAACTTTATCTTGTAGGACGTTGGCGACTTGACAGTAGACTCTCTGATCCGAAGCTGTACTAAATGTAACATACGTAATGTTACCTAAATGTTACCTAAATATAACATACGTAAATGACATTAATTCCAGTGATATAATGAGAGTAAATAGATGTAGATATTTAAGTAAAAGTCGATATTGATTATTTTTAAAATTGATTGTACGCTTTAAGTAACTGCAAGAGCTAGTTTTGTATTGAGAGCATTAATTTAAACTGATAAGATGTTAGTGGTTTAATGTGCTTGCGAGGAAACTTCTATTTCTTTTCGGCAATGAGAAATATCTCGAAACATTAGGGTAAAACGCAGAGAAATTTTGTTTATCTCGTTGTTAAAGATTCTTCTATACGGTCAGTGCGTTTTTAAAATCTGGAAATACGAAAAAAAATTAATTAAAATGAAAATAGTATAAATATAAACATTTACATAGAATAAAAGAAAGTCTTCAGCATTGCTGATGCACCAGTATAAATTGCATATTAATATATATTAATAATGCCGAAAAGCATATTTTGAAAATGGAGAAGAGATTTTTTATTGTGTAACATACGAAATGACACACTTGGACAGAAATCGGACGAACCACCGAATTTTTTCCGCGAATCATCCTCGAGGAACGAGGATCAATGACTTGCTGCAATAGAAGATCATTCTAATCCTAAATAAGGCTAAAATAAATCTGCGGGATGGATGGCTGTATAAATTTCACGGTGCACGACCAACGGATACAATTATTTACGCTATTATAACCGTTAAGATAAGAAATAAATACATCATAATGCTTCCTTAAAGCATGAAATTCTGTAAACGACGGCTATTTAACGTTACCTCGATGTACACATTATATCTTAGGAAAATGAAGTACATTGTAAGGATATAGATCGAATTTACGATACATTATCCGAGGCATGTGATTGAAAGTCAGGTTTCAAATATCTGAGATGAAACGAGTATTGTATGTTTACTGCTAACAGGACTACAGCACTGTTGCACTAATGGATAGCTTAATGGGTGATGAAATTGTTTGATTAAGCAGTTATTTAATTACCTCGAGCAGCGCACGTTTCCCTTAATGTCGTAATACGAGACGAATGGCACGTTAATTGTTGTATTTACTTTCTGGCACAAAACAATTGAGAACTTTTCTCCTATAATAATTCAAACACAGAGAACGATGTGTTACACAGAAAAAAACAAAATCAAAATCAATATGTTATTGTTAATTAATAATAGTATCGTGTTATTATTAATTATTAGATTGTAAAATTTTGTTATCGATATTTATAAAATATTAAATATTATATTGTTAAATTATTTTTCTTTTATGAATGTATTTGTATCAGACAAAGAGGTAGCCATCTTTTAACTAAATTGTAAATATTAGTACAATTACTAAGTTTTTAAAATATTAGAACAATTTTCATATTGCTCTACCAATTGTGACTTTTTACTAATTAAGTAATCGTTTTTATAGAACGGAAGATGATCAAGTAGATGCGTCGAAAATTCCCCCGTCCGTTTCCTTGGAAGATGAGTGTCTTGGCGATTTTTTGTATGCAACTGAACCACCGGAAGATGCGGCAGCACCACGAAGCGCAAACTCGTCGATAACAGGCAACTTTTCAGAGACAGAACCAACTTACAAGTCTGTGCTACATTCCAGAACTTACAGACAATCCTCATCGGTGAGAGCATGGTTGAGTAATCTCGCGATGGAAACCGATAACGAGTGTGGCAACACTCTTCAAAGCAAAACTCTGCCAAGACGGAAACCATGCGAGTTTTTAAATGAAAAGGACGAAATTAAAGATTTGAAAAATCTGTCGTCTTTAGCTACAGCTGCTGCGAACAAACTGCTTGTCAGAACTGAGCAATTTGACCGACATTATCAGTATATCTTTCAGTGAGTGTTTCTGGAAATGTTTCGAAATTTGATAAATTACATTTGACGTCTTAAATAACAAAAGTAACATTAAATACAGGATATAATCGAGGATAGTAAACAATACCGATAAATCATGTTTTTATAGCAAAATATCGCATCTAGAAAGTGGTAGATCAGAACAGCAGCTTTTACGTGCCATAGAAGAGGACGCTTTCTCCATTCTTTCCGAGTTGGGTACACCGTCTCCGCATAGAATTCAGCAAAATAGTTTGAAGGGGATATTAGCACAGTTGGAGAGTATGAAGAACTACGTTGACAGTGCTGTAGATACTCGTTTAGATTTTTATATTGAAGTAAGACTTAATTCATATTATGTAAACATAAAATAATTAATATAACATACATAATGTTAAAATCAATATCACTTTGTAGAGAGTAGTTAGAGGATTGGAAGAAGCACCAAAAAATGATACCATACTGGCTAGAGGTGCTCTGGCAGCTTTAACTGCTTTAGGTTTAGCAGGACCTCGAGCAGGAAACAGTATCACAAGATGTTCCGGTATTAGAGCACTTTTGACATGTTTAATTACTGCTGGACGGACGTCAGTGGAATTCGTTGCAGCTTCTTTACGTGCATTAGCGAGCGTATGTTGTTCTGCAACAGCAATAAACCAATTTGTTAAAGATGGTGGCCCAGAAATATTGACAGACTTACTAGTTATAGATAATACATCTGAGAAGGAGAAGATGGAAGCAACAGCATTAATTGTGCAGATTACCGCGCCTTGGGTCAATGCGTTTGGTCTGCCTTACTTGGAGCCATTTGCAAAAGATTTAATATCGCCTTTAAATCATCTAGTCGAAAATACTAATTGTAGTCAAACCTTATTGTTAGTCGCAGCCGCGTTCAACCACTTATCCAAATCCAAAAAATATGCTTTTGTGATATTGGAACATGACACGATTAGAAAACTGTTAAAATCTGTTAAAAAGACAGCTGGTAGAAACGTTTGGTTAATGGAACAAGTAGCAGCTCTTATCAGTGAACTGGCGCGTATACCTGAAGCACGAACATACCTGGCGGAAGTTCGTGCCTCAATTGCGTTGGTTTCTTTTCTTAGAATGAGGCCTCCTGGTTTAGAGGATGCATATAGACGTTTAGAAATTACTGCAGCTGCAGCACTTACAAGACTCTGCGTAGATCCAGAGATTGCACGGCAAGTAGTTGCTGTCGGAGGGGCGGATTGTCTTCCATCATATAAGGCTGAAGACCTTCTAACGGAGGATGAAGATCAAATTGAGACTGGCTTGCTAAAATACACGAAATCTTTAAGAAGAGCGTGTAAAAGAGCTGCAAAACAAATTGATATTGCAAAGGCCAGTGATTATAGTACTCTGAATTAAGATTAATAAAATATTGAAATTGTATATATGTGGTATATATTTTATAAGAAAAAAATGTATATGTTTATATACAAGTATATGTTTATATACTTGTATAATAAAAACACTGTATATGTATATATGTAATGAATATTTTTATTACACGTGCATAAAAATATATCATATATTGTATTACATCAGAAATTTTAATTCAAATACAAATAAAATTATAAAAATATACTGGTAAAAAGAAAATATTGTTTTTAAATATTTATGTACTTATAATAGAAATTATAATACCAATGTAATAAAAGTCAAATTTTATAAAAGTTATATAATTTATTTAATTGACTATTTAATTGCTATTTAATTGATTTTTGTGAAATATATCTATAGTCGTTTCTAAACAAGGTCTTAGTTCAAGATCACAAGCACCTAACATAAACTTTCCATTAGGTGCTTTGAAATAATCTAACCCACGGCCAATCTTAATCACCCATCCATTGCTAAATCTAAAATAATGTTTAAATAGAAATAAAATATAATAATTTCAATAAATATAATTACATTTTTGTAGAATGTTTCTTACATTATTTGTCTATCATGTAAACTATCAGAAAATTTAAATTCAAAAGTAATAAGATGAGATGATAAACTTTGTTTTAATTCCACCAATCTCGCTATTTGATTTTGCTTGTCATCTGGAGCAAAAGTTGTAATTAAAGATATCTTAGACAATGCATGACACTTTCTCACAGCCAATTCACAAAATCTTACCAAATTTTGACACTAAAAACAAAAAATAATCAAATCAAAATCTTGATACATGACTAAATTAACTTAAATTAATTTTAATTAAATTAAAATTAAATAATACCTGATGAAATGCTCTTATATAAGGATCTTCAATGTTAATATATGTAACTGATGCATCTAAAAATCTTCCAAAAACAGTACCATAGCCATATCCAGTACTACCAGTTTCAATTTTAATTAATTCTCTGTATGTACCAATTGCCTTTTGATGGTCAATTAAAATTTTTATTTTTTCTGCTCTGTCCAAATATTGTGATGTCTTGGTAGCAAAATGTTTTTGCCTAATTGGATCTGTTATACCTGCATGTTTTATTACTAAGTTGCTAACAAATTCATATTTTATAATTTACTAAATTTTAAAAAATATGTAAAATAATAAAATAAACATTTTAATTTAAGAAAATTTAAAAAATATATTGAGTATGATGTATTATAGTAAGATAGCATAATAAATTAAAATAGTATTTTAAACGTTTTTAATTAATATTTGAAAGAAATTAAAACAGAAATGAAAATAATAACATAATAATAAAAATTCATCTAACTATAATTATATATAATAGTAAAGGAAATAGCTTTAGTAAAATATACATATAATATTACCTTTCATAGAGTCAATGAGTATTTGTACACCTTCTTGATATAATACTAATGCCATTGTATACTGTTTACCGTTATCCATTTCTACCGCTCGTTTTAGAATCTTCTAATATTTGCATATTAAAAAAAATTTAAAAAAGAACGTAATCAAACGCGGAACGTACTATGCAGGATAAATGATAATGAATAATAAACAACTGATATTTCATAAATCATAAACTTCCAATGATTGATTTATAAAAATGTTTAAAATGTTTCGTTATCCATTATAATAAAGTACTTTTATATGAAAATCAATTAAAAATTGCAAGTAACTATAATCTAATATATAAATTATAGATGAACAAATGAGAGATAAAACATATTTAAAACTTAATATTTATTCAATATAATCAAAGATATAAAGTTTATCTTATAATGTGAATTATTCCTTTATCATACACTTAAAATATTATCGATTTTTAAATATATCGAAACCTATTTCGATAAGTAGTTAACACATCGATACAACAAAATAAAATTATGGCGCTCAAGGTAACGTAATTCTAACCTAACAATAGCTATGTCAAATTATGGTAAACTTAAACGAGATGCAAGATTAACTAAAATTTAACTTCATTTGGATAACATCTTTCGGTAAAGAATATTATTTTTAAACAGTCCATAAACATTCACAAACTTGAGGTTCATATTAAAACGAACAATGGTTTCGTTACTGATTTTTAACTAAAATATGACAACATTCTCTAAAGAGTAACGTGTCATGTGACTATATATGTGCATATGCGCGGTTTTTTTAACGGAAAAAGAATATTTCTATTACTCTATTTCTATGTTGACAGTTACTTTAATTTTAAAATATACAGAAAGAATATGTAAATAAAACTTGTTTCTATTTTAGTAAATGTATTATTTGAATAAAAAAACTTTCGTAGAAATTTTGAAACAAAAATCTCTTTAATTATATTTATTCTGTATCGTTTATATTAAATAAATTTTCAAGGTATATCACAATAATTTTTTCATTAAAACTAATTTATTTAAAAGTTCTTGTATTTAACATGAAAAATTATTTATAATTATGTTATAAATTAAATTTTGTTTATCAATAATATAACAGAAAAAAAATATCAAAATTGATACATTTTAATCTGATAGGAATTTTAATAATGAAGTCTACAAAAAATAGTGGAACCGGTTCTTTATGGGGAGAACTACCAGCAAGAGAGAATTTGAAACAAGAAGTGATAACTCCAGATATCATAGAAAATATTTGGAGACAAGTTATGGAAGAATCAAATAATGCTGATTGTGATTTTCAAATAGACAGACAACCTGAGTATATACAGTGAAGTTATTTATAATTTAAAAATATATCTTCTTTTTAGAATGTCAGCTTTAGTTTTTTAATTTCTAATTTGTAGATTACCTATGGGAAATCTTCACATTTTAAATACTATAAATCTGCATCAACAATTAAGGATGATGGTAATGATATAAAATAATAATTTGAAATGTAAGTCTTATACTTTCTTACTCATATTTACATTTTCTATTAGGAAGAAGGAATGGTACTTGGAAATATGACAACAATTGAAACACATGAATCCCAAGAAGAAAAAGAAACACAAAATTCATTTCAATTTTTATCTGTGCAAAAAGAAAGGTATAAAAATGTGTAGATATGAAAGATATTTACTAAATTAATGAAATATCAATAAGGTTTTTATTTTAGAGGTGCATTTAGAAATGCTTCCACAATACACTATCTTACACCAGAAACAGTTCGTTGTATATTGAAGCATGCAGTTATTATTCTTCTAGCACACATTGGATTTGAAAAATCTTCAAATGTAGCTATAGAAACACTTACAGATATTGTAGATCATTTTCTGAGAAGAATGACACTTTTAATGAAGGCAGCATATGAACAAAAAGATCATGGTTTTCCAGTAAATAAAATTAACTAATGATCTTATCTTATTCTTCACAAAACTGAGAAATTTAATATAAACATATATCCTTGTAGGATATACTTGAGCGAGTTTTGCTGGAAACAGGTGTTGGTGGCATAGCTGCTCTTCATGACTATTATCAAGAATATGTACTGAAATTTGAGGAAAGCATGAAAAAGAAGGTTGAAACAATGATGGAAAAACAGAGGCAACTTGAACTTAATGCTTATAGTTCTAAGTATTTAATTGTACTGAAGTAGCTGCAATGTTTTTAAAAAAGAACCGTTTTATTTCTCTTAATATTTATTCAATTTATAGGATGACTTTAGATGAAGCAGCTAATAAATTACAATTTGAAGAACTCGATGAATTCGGTAATGTCTATCGAGAAGTGCCAACTCTTCAACTGTTAGATCCTGAAATGGGTTTTCCTCCTAGTCTTGATGCTGGTTTCCAAATGCTGTATAGCCTTGAACAGGATGAGTTAGTTATTTTTATAAATATTAATATTTATACATAAAATCATGATGTTAACGATTATAGATTAAACAATTTGGAAGTAGAAGAAGAAGAAGTAAATGTAAGCGATTCTCCGAGTGGACAACGACCTGACACATCGAATGATAAAAAAAAATCTTGATGTAATTCATAATTATACAATTTTACATTTCCTTACTTTTATTTCGTGTAAAAAGAAATTTGTAATGAATTCCAAATATTAGTAATATTTCTAAAATTGTATATAAAATTAATGTGAAACTTTTGAAAATTTGTTATTTAATTTATTATGTATTATTAACATTATATTGTATAGTAAATATTTAAAAATAATTTGCAACTAAGTTATATATTTGTGTAAAGAATTAATATGCTCAAAATCCATTTGAATTTAAAATATTAACTATGTGCTTTCTAGTAAATTAAACTCCAAATAGTAATTAAGCGACCTCTAGTTATAATGTACCAACTGTCGCTATGCGTCCCAGAATACTTTGCGAGGCCGTTGACAACACGTCAAAAATGGCAGATCCAGCACCTAGCAAAAGTGATATTGAAGAAATATTTAAAAGATTGCGAGCTATTCCAACGAATAAGGTTTGCTTCTTTATTTATTACTTAACTGTGCGATGTCAAATATCAAACTATACAAAACTATACAATATCATACGTGGCAACAATTTTAACGATAACGTCATATTTTCTTCCCAACCTGTAATTTTCCTGGAATCTTCCGTTTCATGGTGACACATATTACAGGGTAGTTTATATCAATTTACATTACGGAAATATTAATAATAATTCTGAACTCTTTTATTAAAGAAAATTTGTTATCAATTAAACATATAATTTATAATTAAACAATTAATCAAATATTGTAGTATATATTAATATAGTATTGTAATTTTTTTAGACATGTTTCGATTGCAATGCAAAAAATCCAGCATGGTCAAGTGTGACTTATGGTGTCTTCCTATGTATCGACTGTTCTGCAGTTCATCGAGGATTAGGAGTTCATTTAACATTTGTTCGATCCACTCAACTTGATACAAATTGGACTTGGTTACAATTGAGGAATATGCAATTGGGAGGAAATGCAAATGCTGTTAGTCTCTTTATTAATAAAATTTAAAGTCATTAATTATTAAAATAGATCTATTACTATTTTATTAAATATTTGGAGTCATTTGATAATAATGTAACTTTAAATAGATTTCTATTATATTTTTAGAGAAAATATTTTATACAGCACAATTGTACAACAACTGATGCCCAGCAAAAGTATAATTCACGTGCTGCTATGCAATATAGAGAAAAATTGATGCAAGCATCTGTACAAGCAATGCGGCGTTATGGAACAAAGGTAAAATATGTATTGTTTGTGTGTATATTTACCATACAGAACGTACACCTTGATTAATCAAATGTTTTATAACTACAAATATGGTAATTATAGGTTTTTCTTCCTTCAACAAAAAATAAGACAATGGTGAGCTGTAAAACTACTTTCACAAAAACATCAGATTACTAATATTTGCTTAATACTTTGTTTTGAAAAATAGTTTTGTAAAGGTTGATATGTGATTATTTTTACACTCTATTGATAATGGTTGTAAAAATATATGTGCACTTTTTTTAAAAATTATTTATATATCATTACATGAATTCTTTTTTTTTGTCATTACACCAATGAATTCTTTCAGACTATCTTTATTATACAACTAACTTACCCAACATGTGTGTGTGTATTTTATATGAAGTACAGCTTTATAAAAGAATTTGGTTTGAAAATATTTTTGGGACAATTAATTTTTCTCAAGATTCTATTTTTTTGTAGTTACATTTAGATGAAGACCCAGTATCAGCATCTGAAGAGCAAGGTGAAATTGATTTTTTTAAAGAACATGAAAATACTGAAGCACATCATAATGAATCTTCACTGCATACTGAAGGAAATTCAGTTTCTGTTTGTGACTCCATATCAAACAACGACAATGAGGATAAAAGTAACCAGAAAGATAACTTAGAAATTGCTGCTAATTCTTTAGGACCTACTGTTAAGTTATCTGATACTACCTCAAATTTGATATCTGAGAGGAAACCTACTATAGGTGTCAGAAAAGTTCAGAATAAACGAACTGGTGTATGTATTCTAATGCCTTATTTATTTATCATTTATGTTTAATACAGTTTAATGATGAATTACACAAATTACTTTTAAATTGTTATTTTTAGTCTAAAATTGTAACACTAATATAAATTTAAAATACTAACAATATAAATAAGGTATTAAATAGTGATACATTTTACATGAAAAATACTTTTAATTTTTACACTTCTATAATAGTTGGGGAAAAAGACTGGAGGATTAGGAGCTCAAAGGGTTAAAACAAATTTTGATGAGTTAGAAAGAAGTGTTGCTGAAACTAGCAAAGAATCACAAGAGAAGGATCAAGAAAATACAAAAGAAGAACAAGAAGAAATTGCTACACGTCTTGCTTATCGATATGAAAAGAATTTAAGTGAACAAGCCAAAAAGATAGAACAGAGAACAAAACAGTTAGACCCTTCCAAAGCAATGCAAGCAGAACGTCTTGGTATGGGATTTAACACACGAAGGTAATACTTATACTTTATATATTTTATAATCTAAACTTATTTATGTTTATAAGCATATGTATTTATATATAAAATTTCATACATAAATGGCGAATCATGATTTTATGTAATAATACTTAAAAAATATAAATGATAAATACTGTAAAAACATAATACAATGTATTAAAATATATATAATTTACAGTGGTGCGAGTCACTCTGCGCTTGGCGATATGCAGACAATAACTCAGGAAACATCATCAAAAACTATAACTGCTTCTGAACCAAGGCCAAGAGATGATCTCGAACGTGAGCTTCTTATTCGTTTAGACGAATTTTATGCGTCCTTATTAACCCCATATAGTAGCAATACTAACAACAAATCTCATAATGAGGAAGTTATTATTGTAAAGCCAGAATCACCAAAACGAGTAGCTGCACCAAGCAAACCAAATAATAGTAAAAATGATAATAAAACGATGGTGGAAGGAGAAGCACAAAAGAAATTTGGTAGTGCCAAGGCTATTAGTTCAGATCAGTATTTTCAGGATAGTAAAGATGATGATTCTGTGAGTTGATATTACTTATTAATCTTTTCCTTTTTTATACAGTTTAGTTTTTATTTAAAATAAAATTTTATTTCAATTACAGTGGGAACGTAAAAGTAATTTACGACGTTTTGAAGGTTCATCTAGTATTTCATCAGCTGACTATTTTGGCACAGGAAGTTCTACTGTAACACCTTCCACGCCTTCTTTATCTGGAGTTGATTTAGATGATGTTAAAGAAAGTGTTCTTGAAGGCGTAAATAAGGTCACAGACAAATTAAGTTCTCTTGCCAATACAGCTCTTTCTTCTCTACAAAAACACTATGGACTTTGAATGAAAATTTACTGCATTTTACTAAAATTGTTACTAAACTTATATTTGGACACTTCTTGTCCATTGTTCGAAACTGTAAATAAAAACTTGTAATTCAGCTTATTCGTAATTTGCTTTTTAAAGTTATAAATTAAGATACATTGATAATTATGGCGAAAGAGAAATACTGTTGATATAAAACTAATTTTTTTTTTAAAGTAGTTTGTGTTCATAAAAGTTTAAATAGTTCATAAAGGGGCTCACCAAATTTTATAATCTTTTCCTAATCTAATTTTACAACATGATAAAACATGATATTGAAACATTGTTTCATTATGATGTAAAATTAAATATAAAAAATTTTAAATAATGAACAAACATAAAAAATAATAATTGAAATAGGATTTAGAGTAAAGGTTCTTTCCTGATGAATTTTTTGCAGCGTGAAATTAGACGAGAATATGGTTTTCCGTGAAGAAAACATACAAGGACAACCGTCATATTATCACAACCAGTACCCATTAAGGCATCTGGTGCAAGGCACTGTTTCATAAGCTCTTCACAAATTTCTTCAGGGTCCATTGTATGTGGTTTCTGTCCTGTCCAAAATTTCGATGGAACTAAACGTGTTCTTACAAAATTAACTACCTCATTACTTGTCAATACATCCCAAATACCATCACAAGCCAAAACAACAAATTCCCAATCTTCTGTTATTTGGAACTCTTGAACTTCAGGAAAAGCTATATGTATAAAAATATATTGTTATAAAATAATCTTTTGTCCTGAATTCGATATTCTTACATATTATTCATTATAAAATTACCAGTCACGATTTGTTCTTTTGGTGATTTACGTTCATTTCGTTTGAACATAAAATCGCCTAAAGCACGTGATAATGCTAGTTGACCATTGACTCTGTTGAATTCAACCCAACCACCAGCAGCTTCAATTCTTTTACGCTCATCTTTCAATGTGGGTTTATGATCACGACTAAGTGGAATGGCAATGCCATTAATACTGGCCACTGCTCTACTATCACCTGCATTTGCCTACATAAAGTTTCCAAATCAATAATGATAATAACCAAAAGAACAGTAAGATAAAAAGGACTTACACTATATATAACATTGTCTTTTATGAGAAGAGCTATAACAGTAGTTCCTGCTTGTTCATCTTTAAGCGTTGCATCATTTTGCATTGCTCTATCTAGTTCTAGGAATCCCTGTTGTATGGCTTGGACAATATTACCAGCTTTGTATTCGCTTCTCCTAGTTATGTATTCATGAAGATGTTTTCCAGCATATTGTGCCATTGCTGCACCTATAAATATTATCTATTATTTTTTTTTTTTTTAGCATGAAAGTAATTATATTTAGATTTATCTTTCATTACAACTTGTTATTTACAATAGCTATAATTCTTTCTATGTATTTTCAAACAATTTTATGTTTTAACTTACCTCCATGACCATCATATACTGCAAAAAATGCAGTACCAGGATCATCAGGTAATGAAAGAATATGCACATGACAATCTTCCATTTTTATACGCCAACCTTGCATACAAGAACTTGCAACTCGATAGTTTGAATTTCTACAGCATGCTGATGTCATTGCTGTCACAGGTTCACAGAGTGTTTGACCCATTATTTTTTTGAAGATTCTAACATTATTTATAACATATTATTATTGATTTGGAATAATATAAATTATATAATTTTTAATAATAAAGTTTAAGCTTAACACACTTGGAAAATAATATTCTATTAAATGTACTTCTTTCAGAATTTTAATTTATTTACGCGAATTAGAATTAACCATTCTTTTATACTTGTTCTTTTTTATTTTGCTTTTGATTATAATTAACTTCACAAACGTTATTATAGGTATTATACTTGTTAATGCTATGTTTAGTTTGTTTTCACATAAAATTTATTTTTTTTATTATAAAGTTTATAATTTTTGTTATTTATGCACAAATTTGACACAAATACTTTATACAAAACTAAAATCTAATGTCAAACATCAAAGATAATCTAACCTCTTGCAGAATTTTATACGCATCGCATCTTCCACAATTCAATATTACAGAAATACTATTAACCCTAGAGCGACACTGTGAGGTCGTCGTCGATTCCACGAAATTTTAAACTTGCTATAGAAGTGGAAATAAAGATTAGAATACTGAATTTTTATTTGTATCTACTAATTTATATCATAGTTTATGCAATAATAAAAAAAGGTCTTTGCGTATTTTCAATGACTTTATAAACGTTTGGATTATCGACGACTTTACGGTATATGTAACATAATATTTTTGTTATTTAAAACATTTGTTATAAATTATAGGTTACTTTCCTTTTAATCTCCGAACGGCTATTTTAAAAATGTAAAAATATTATAACATTACCGTTTTAAAATGTAACAATGACTTTTTTCAAAAAATTAAAAATTTAAACTACTTACATGATATCTTTTGTATTACTTTTTATATATTACTACAAAATATTAATTTTGTATACTACTATAAAACAAATTATAAAATTGTAATTTAGTACTTTAAAAAAAATATTTCTTTCTACAAATAAAGGCTACAAACATGATCAATTAGAAAAATTTATTAAAGTTGTAAAGTAAATTTGTAAAGTGTATCTGATATTTCAAATACTTCATTTGAAGCATGTCAATGCTAAGAAAGATGTTCTTTTAGAATATTTTTTGTAAAATACTAGATATTGTCACAATAAATTCATTTGTTATCTATAAAGTAAATATATAATTATCAATAAAATAGAGTAATTATATAAAAAACTTGTCATTTGCTTTAATAAAAGACCACTTCATAGACCAAGCATCACTTCATACTATGCTCAGAGAAATACAAACATTATTAAACACTAACATTGATATATTTGGATTTGAGCCATCAAAATGTACATAAATAACTACAAAAAATTAGATAGATATGCATTTCTTAAGAAAAATATAAAAAAGCAGCAGTATGTGACTTATGTTTAAGAAGAGAATGGAATTTTAATCTCTTTAACTTGCATAAAGTTCTATCAACAGAGTATTATTAATCAAAAACATTATTTTCTAAACTACATAGATAAGGTATAAATTGTATTTTTTGTCCATTAAAAGTTATATATAGTAACTGAGATAACTATCAATATATAGAAAAATAAAAACAAATTTTCTGGAAATGTTAAATGACATCTAAGACATTTGGATTTTATTTGAGATTGACCTTATAGTGTCAGATACATTTAGAAAATTGAACAATGTCGATCTAAGGTTAAAAGTAACGTTTGCTTTTATATAAACATATATCTATACATAAAAAGTCTTGATCTATTTACATAATCTTAATTTAGCATTAAATCTTACCTTCATATGCTGTCAAACGAATATAGATAAATCTAACCTCTTCATTCACAATTGCGTTCGTATAATTTTTTGTGAAATATACGATACCATATAACTTAAATAGAACTGTAACTTTATACCACAAGTTTTGTATTTAGCCATACAGAAGCTTACTGTCAATTATTGACTATATCTTAAAAAATTATTCAAAAATATTCACTTCGTCTAAAAGGTGTCAACAGCTGATTACGCTGTGATAGTTCGTTGATCGACAGCAACAGCAATACTTAAAAAAAACAAAAAAAAAAACGTGAACGACGTAGTAGAACAGCTGACCTCCTACACGTGTTTTGTGACTTCATGAAAGTCACAAATATAACAATATTAATATTTTATTGATAAAACAAAGTGCTTTGTGTACATATAGAATGTGATATGTAAAATATCCGTATTTCATAAAATCGTATCGTAAATGAAAATTATAACAGGTTACAAATAGAATTTGTAAGGTAAAAGAAGTTAAGGTAATAAATATACAAAAAAAATATGTATGTATGTTATAGGTATTTATAATATATTATGCAGCTTGTTCTTAAATATTTTAGAAAAAATAATTCGATACATAATGGGATATAATACAACTTTAGAATCTGATAGTATTTTATCTGAATCTAAAAATATAGTAAAAGACACTGATGCTGAAAAACCATATAGATGCATTTTTCCTGGGTGTAATTTAGCTTTTCGTAGACCATCCCGATTAAAAAGACATGTTAGGTTTCATATTGGAGAGGTAATATTTCTTCATTTAATATTTTATAATTTAAGAATTATCTTTGATTTTCTCTTTATATTTCATTTAATAAAATATTGATTATGTTAGAGAAACTTCAAGTGTAATTATCCAGAATGTAATAAAGCTTATACTAATAATTGCCATTTAAAACGACATATGGAAACTCATAATTCAACAAAAAAGCTATATAAGTAAGTAAACTAAACTCTTTGTAAAATATTTTACTACTTTATGATTTAACATATTACTTCATTTTAAGATGTTCAGAGTGTTCATTACATATTAGTAATCAACATAACTTAAAGCGTCATTATAATATAATGCATATGAATTGTGACAAATTGACTTGCAAAGAATGTAATGAAACTTTTACAAAGAAATATCAGCTTAAGGCACATATGACAATACATAATCCAGTTTTTTATAAATGTGATCAGTGCACTAAAAGCTATACAAGCTTGACAAAATTTAAAAAGCATAAAACAAGTCATGAACAAGGAGATAAACAATATCCATGCAATATGCCAGGATGTAATGAAGTTTTTATAAAGTGGATGCTTCTTTGTGCTCATATAAAAACTCAACATGTGAATGGTAAATTATATATAACATAATTAATGTACATTTGCATTTTAAAAAAGTTTGGATGTAAAGTAGATTTTTAATAGATACTGTAAATATAATGTATTTTTATTTTTAGAACACAAGTGCAAAAATTGTAGTAAAATATTCTTAAGCAAACGGCATTTAAAAATTCATTCTCAAGTTCACATAGAAAATAGATCTGTTATCCCTTGCCCATATGAAAAATGTCCTCGAGTTTATTATTTTAAATATAATTTGAATCATCATATACGAACTTATCATTTTGGGGAAAAGTATGAATGTGATATATGCAAAATAAAGATTGGAACGAAACAAAGATTGGTGGCACATATTCAGAAACTACATATGTCAGAAACAAGGATAAAACAAACCAAAAAGTTGCAACGGAAAAAGCGAAAAGATGCTGGAATACCTAAAAGAAGCACAGCATCAAAATTGGTTGGAGTTAATTTGCCATCAAAAGTAGAAAAGATGATATTAGAAAGAAAAGAAAATATAGCATACATAGAACAGTTTAAAACTGTGCCAAATAATAATTCAGATTGTGATTGATTAATTTTTACAATATAAACATATTAGTGGAACATATAAATAAAATTATAGTTCTACAAGTTTCTATAAATTATTTGGCATTTATAATTTGTATTTAATTTCTTTTTTCCTTTACTGATTTTAATCTACAGGAATGTAATTTTTTTTTATAAAGACTGAATTCTTTACACTTATGAAAATTTGTTTTAATTTTATATTTTGAGCCATAACATAAACATCCTATTTAATGCATAAAAATAATACAAATACATGTATCAAAACTTAGCAGCAACAAGATATAGGTGAATTTTTATTACTACAATTAATAAAAATATTTGTTCATATCTGTTTCTAATAAAAGATTGTATTTAAAAATTTGTGTCATAAAATAATTTTAATTTATGTTTTTTCCAAAATATAATCATAGTGTTTGTATCCCATTATATTTAGTCCCATCAATTACCATTTCAGAAGTAGATTTCATTCCATTTAAATGTTGGATTGTTTAAAGAATTAATATAGATATAAATATATTTCACATAAATATAAAAACAATTAAAGAAATATCCTTTTGCAAAGCTGAAACTTTGAGCAACATTCATATGTAATTTTCGTATATAATTTGTTACGAATTAGTTAGATATTAATTATTGTTTGATGGCATACATGATTTCGTAACGACGATCATCACGTTCTTCCGTGAAAATATTTAATACTAAACGAAACTAGAAGCAAAATGTGATCAAAAGATATATAAGAAGATTCGCAAGAACATTGTTTTTCTACTAAGTGCATAAAGTTTCACAAATTAATTGCGTAGAGGATAGTAATTAATGAGAAACCAATGGCGTCTTCGACAACAATTTAAACACTGCGTAGAATAAACATTAATAATTAATTAAATAGGAACAAATTTATATCGAAAAATATATTGGAAAATTGCTGAAGGATCTGCCTTTACGATACAATTATAGAAGTTCATAAATTAATCACAGATATTGAATAATTAGTGAATTTTTCATTGCCGATTTGATTTATTAAAATATATTCGGAGCACATAACCAGAGTTAGTAAATTGACATCAGAGCCATCTATGGTCTCGTTGCGGAACTCGAACTTCGAATGTAAAATCTCAGATGGTTCTGTTGTTCCTCGAATAGTTTACTAACTCTGGTTATGTGATCCTAATATATTTTACTATATTTTAATAAATCAAATCATAAAGTTTTCTACATTCTTTACTAAATACAGTCCAAACAGCGGTTTTGAAATGAGAGAAAATTGCAAACAAACGCCGGAAGCATTGTTGTGTCCATGCAGGTGATCCTGCATCACGAAAAGAATGTAAGTATTTGCATTAACATAACCTTTAGTTGTAATTAAATAGTGTGAGTTATGAGCCATTGTTTTTCCATCTTTCATTAGTGATAGAGCTTGTTTGTGAAAAGACAATACTCTGTTGAAATAAACAGACTTGTGCAACAATAGAAAAATATTGGACTCATGAAATATTATCAGCGTAGAGCCATTAGATGTCAAGAATTATATTTTATAGCGAGAAAAAATTAAAGCAGCAATACATATATGTAAAGTATAATATGTCTATTGGATTCTAGGTCGACTAACCATGCGACATACATGATAGAATTCTCTGATGGTCAAATAAAGAATCAGAAAATGCAGACGATTTAGGCAGACAAACAGGAATACAATTGATTTAGGTGATGGCTCTTTATAACAACAATATATGGAGAATACAGTGAGATTGAAAGGTATGTTGTATTCCTGATTTAAACAAATATTAATATTAGTGGTCGAAGTCACTGATCATCGCTAATGCGTTAAGTTTCAGAATGATGGAGCTGAGGTACATAAAGAAAAGGGGGAAGTTCGAATGAAAACAGTGAAAAGAGGAAATGCATATTATGCGGAATCAAGAAACAGAAAAGAGGCAGCATATGTATCAACAAAGAAAAATGTGTGGCATCGATATGGAAATATGAGGATCATTGAAGAGATGGAGAATGAACAAGTGGTAATAATTATGAAAGGTAAAGTTATAGAGTTAATATAAATGTTGCATTAATGCACAAATGTGTAGAAATATCTATAGGAACATGGAAAAAGTAAAAGCAGCAGGAATAATGGGGCTGTGGCACATGGAATTGATGGGCCCAATAAAGTCAACGTTAAAAGGAGGTAAAAGGAACGTCTTACTTGCTGATGATTATTCGGGAAATGAACCATTTGACTGATTTGTAAATGACCATAGATTAAATATGAAATATTATTGACGAAGGATTTTTTTTATTATAGGAGACTTGGAAACATGAGTAATATTTATATGTAAGAGTCAGCCACTAAGGGTAAAGTAATAAGTATGATTTAATAATACTTCAATGGATTATATATCTGTTTTTAAAAATATAACTGATATATAATATTTACTTTCTAAATTTCTATATTAATATATTGAACAATTTCTAATTTGAATTACAATACTGGATAATAAATTTTAATAAATTTGGTTTTAAAAGTATTTTACATTAATCAAACTAATATATTTGTTATAACTAGGTTGTAATGAAAGCAGCTGTTGGTGATATTGAGTTAGAATTATGGGCAAAAGAAACTCCAAAGGCATGTAGAAATTTCAAACAATTATGTATGGAAGGTTATTGGGATGATACTATATTTTATAGAATTATCAAAGGATTCATAACACAAAGTGGTGATCCTACAGGTACAGGAGAAGGTGGTAAAATGTATGGAGAACCATTTAAAGTGAGACTATATTTAAAAATAAAACGAATTCCTTTTTTATTCGAAAATAATTATTGGATATATGTGTTTTAGGACGATTTTCGTACAAGATTACGTTCCTGTGGACGAGGTTTAATTACTATGGCTAATGCTGGAAAAGATGACAATACTTTCCAATTCCTCTTTACTCTTGGTTCCACATCAGAATTGCAGAGTAAACATACAATCTTTTAAATTTAATGTTTACAAAAAAATATATCAAGAATTAATATAAATATAATATTTCCTATTTTTTGTGGAATGATAGGCTACTTTATCCTCCAAATATGATAAATACTGAAATATTGAACAATCCATTTTCTGATATTATATCAAGAGTAATAGTACAGGAATGTGAAGAAGTAAAAGACAGTTCGAAAACTAAACCAGCAGGAGTAAAGTAAAAATCATATATATTTGTAGCATTTAGCCCTGGTAGTATTATTCCTTGCAATGCAAAATTTTGTTACAGAGATTTCAATGTTCTATCATTTGGTGAAAAAGTAGAGGAAGATGAAGAAGAAACTGTGATATTAAATAAAAAGTTTAGTGGTGAGGGTAAATCAGCTCATGATCATTTAAGTGATGCAAAATTAAGCTCACAACCAGTTGTTGAACCACCTGGTCTTGCAATTAAAAAAAAGATGGAAGACCGCAGTAGTGATTAGGAAAGTGTCGACGAAGTAAAAACTCAAGAAGAATTAGAAGTTATAAAGAAAGAGAGTTAGTTTATTGTTTACATTATAACTATGTTATAGAAAGTAGGAATATTTATTGACTGTCTTATATTTATATTTTCAGTGTGATGAAGGAAAGGATAAAAAGTAAATTGATAGATGCAAAGAAGAAACCAAAGATAGTATAAAATTATAAAATGGATGATGTTGAAGATGATAAAGATATAAAGAAAAATGAATAGGGAATAAATAACTCCTTATGAGGTTTAGCACGAGAGAAAACCGAGGAAATGCAAGATAAACCAATATCTAGAATTATTAGGATAACTCATGTATTTGCATAGGATCATTTGCGGTAGGGTATATATGTCGATAAATATTGTTACATATATATATATTGTCATTATAATGATAATTATTACGTGATATGTATCATGAAACATCTTTTTCTCACAACGGTGCGTGATACGGACATCTACTCAGATTCTAATGTCTATATGTCATTGTTTATTATGTCGTTAACAATTAACGTTTATATGTGAAATTTTCAAAGAGAATAGAAAGTACTTTAGCATACAACCATTGCCGCTTCATTTTCTTTTTAACAAGAACAAAATCACTCTTCTTCATCTGTGACTTCATGTTCGTCTATAATTAATTCATCAACTTTAAAAATTGCATCGTAAAGGCACAGTCTTAGCGAGCTTTCTAATATAATTCTGGATATGAATTCCTTGTTATTTAAATAATTAATGGTGATTATTGCATAGAGTGTTTGAACTATTGCCGTAGATACTAATGGTTTATCTTTCCATTAGAATAGTGGAATAATTAATAATTCAAGTTCATGAATTAATTATAGAAATTTGGAATTTTTCGTAACAGAAATATATTTATATTTTATATTGCTTCATTGATATTATTAAATATAAGAAACATCGTTTGATATTTCACATCAATACTTTGGCACATGACTATTTCAAAGACGAAGCATCTTCCCGCGAAAACGAGGCACAGTTTTGTCCAATCGCAGAACACTTTCAGTCGACGCGATTCAACGTGTCGGTAGTACATGATACAATATTTACATACGTTACAGTGAAACTTTCAGTCCCTGAACAAAACGTTTCGTGAAGTAGTGTTATTATTGATCAGTCTTTTAATTACTGCAACTGACGAAAGAAATATTCAAGCTCAATAATACGCAGCATCAGTTATTATTTCGGATCATTGAACGACTTTTGTAACATCACTGTGAAATGTACGAAAGGATCACAACACCAGATTAAGAAATTAAAAGAACTTTACCAGGAACAGGATAAATAACTGTGAACATTTGTTTGGTGGTAACATACTACATGTGGAAAAAAGTGAAGGTGCACATGTAAACTAAAGTGACGAAAGTACAAGTGCCTGTGAAATCGTGCTACACAGTTCAATTTCATCGTTTATATTTCCGTAATTAGGCTTTCGCATTAGGTTTTTCCACTATAACAGCGTTGCTTAGATTTTTCTCTATATCGTGTGCCGATTTTTCTATGATTTCCATCATTCGTGTTCGAACCTTAGTGACGAAGGTGTACGTGGCTGTGAAATGGAGCTGCGTAGTAGACTTTTTTCTCTTCTACTTCCGAAATTAGATTTCTGGATAAGGTTTGTTCTATATATCCGCGTAGAGGAAATTCTTCCTTAACGGAATAGGATATTTCTTTCAGTTTCAAGCCTGCGTTTTCGAATAATAGGGCCTAAAGTGTTCGTGGCTGTCAGATCGTGCTGCGTAATAGACTATTTTGGCTTCTATTCCCGCAATTAGGCTTTTTGATTAGATTTGTTCTATATATCCGTGTAGAAGGAATTCTTCCTTAACGGGATAGGATATTTTTTTTTCGGTTTCGAGCGTGCGTTTTCGAATAATAGTGTGGAAAGTGTTCGTGGCTCTCAGATTTTGCTGCGTAATAAACTTTGTCCCGTCTATTTCCGAAATTAGGCGTTTTGATTAGGTTTGTTCTATATATCCGCGTAGAGCGAATTTTTCTTTAATGGGACTGATTATTTTTTTTCGGTTTCGAGCGTGCGTTATCGAAAAATAGTGCCGAATGTGTCAGTGGCTGTGAAATCGTGCTGCGCAATTGACTTTTTTCTTTTCTATCTCCGAAATTAGGATTTTTGATTAGGTTTGTTCTATATATCCGAGTAGAGGGAATTCTTCTTTAACGGAATTTGATATCTCTTTTCGTTTTCGAGCGTGCGTTTTTGAATAATAGTGCCGAACGTGTCAGTGGCTGTGAAATCGTGCTGCGTAATAGACTTTTTTGGCAACTATTTTTTGAGTTAGGCTTTTTGAATCAGATTCTTCTACATATCCGCGTAGAGGGAATTTTTCCTTAACGGGATTGGATATTTTTTTTCGGTTTCGAGCGTGCGTTTTTGAATACTAGTGCCGAATGTGTCAGTGGCTGTGAAATCGTGCTGCGTAATAGACTTTTTTGGCTTCTATTTTTTGAATTGGGCGTTTTGATTAGGTTTGTTCTATATATCCGCGTAGAGGGAATTCTTCTTTAACGGGATTTGATATCTCTTTTCGTTTTCGAGCGTGTATTTTCGAATAATAGTGCCGAATGTGGCAGCGGCTGTGAAATCGTGCTGCGTAATAGACTTTTTTGGTTTCTATTTTTTGAATTAGGTTTTTTGAATTGGATTTTTCCACATATTCGCGTAGAGTGATTTTTTCCTTAACGGCATTGGATATTTTTTTTCGGTTTCGAGCGTGCATTTTCGAATAATAGTGCCGAATGTGTCAGTGGCTGTGAAATCGTGCTGCGTAATAGACTTGTTTGGCTTCTATTTCCGAAATTGGGCTTTTGGATATTGATTTTTCGTTATAATACGATTGATTAGGCTTTTCTCTAACTAGTGCGTGGTCATCGATATGCAAATATGGGGATCATTGAAGAGATGGAGAATGAACACTTGGTAATAGTTGTGAAAGTTAAAGATATATTGAATATAGAGTGTAAATGTTTTATTAAGACAAAAATGTGTATAAATTTTTATAAGAACTTGGCGTCTTTAAAAGCCATAGTAGTAATGGGTTTGTTTATAGAGCCAATGTCAAAATGGGGTAAAAGGTATGTCTTCATTGCTGATAATTATTGGAGAAAGGACCATTTGGTTGACTGATTTGTAAATGACTAATGATTTAATATGAAATGTTCTTGACGACGTATTTGTTTTATTAAAGAAGACTGGCAGACATGGGTAATACTTATTTACAAGAGCCATCTACCATGGGTAAAGTAAGTATTAGTTAATAATATTGGAATGGCTTTAATATCTATTTTTAAAAATCTAGACTTCTATATTAATATATTAAATAATTTGTAATTTGAATTACAATAATCAATAATAAATTTTAATAACTTTGATTTTAAACGTATTTTACATTAGTAAAACTAATATATTTGTTCTAACTAGATTATAATGAAGACAACTGTTGGTGACATTGAGTTACAATTATGGGTAAAAGGAACTCCAAGGCAAGTAGAAATTTCATACAATTATGTATGGAAGGTTATTAGGATGACACTATATTTCATAGAATTATCAAAGGATTCATAACACAAGATGGTGATCCCACAGATACAGGGAAGGTGGTAAAATTTATGGAGAATCATTTAAAGTGAGACTACATTTAAAAATATAATGAATTTCTTTTTTTATGTAAAAATAATTATTGGATATATGTGTTTTAGGACGATTTTTGTACAAGATTACGTTCATGTGCACGAGGTTTAATTGCTATGGCTAATGATGGAGAAGATGACAATGGTTCCCAATTCTTCTTTACTCATGGTTCTACATTAGAACTGCAGAATAAACATACAATTTTTGTAAGGTTACAGGAGAAACTATATATACCATGCTTGAATTTGAAGAAGCACTTGTAGATGAGGTAAGTTTAATGTTTACAAGAAAATATATCAAGAATTGATATAAATATAATATTTCCTCCCTTTTTGTAGAATGATGGACTACTTTATTCTCCAAATATGATAAATACTGAAATATTGAACAATCCATTTTCTGATATTATATCAAGAATAATAGTAGAGGAAAGTGAAGAAGTGAAGGACAGTTCAAAAGCTAAAATACCAGCGGTAAAGTAAAAATCATATATGTTTGCAGAATTTAGCCCCGGTAGTATTATTCCTTGCAATGCAAAATTTTGTTACAGAGATTTCAATGTTTTATCATTTGGTGAAGAAGCAGAGGAAGATGAAGAAGAATCTGTGATATTAAATAAAAAGTTTAGTGATCAGGGCAAATCAGCTCGTGATCATTTAACTAATTCAAAATTAAGCTCATAACTAGCTGATCTACTACCTGGACTTACAAATAAAAAACGGAAAGAAGATTGTAGTAACGATTGGGAAAGTGACGACGAAGTAAAAACTCGAGAAGAATCATATGTTATAAACAAAGAGGAAGATAAGTTATAAACAAAGCGCGTTTAGATCTAGGTAGTTATAAGTAGCCATAAGATAGATTCCTAGACTAAGACCCATATGTGCTCGCGTTTTTATATTTCATTCCCAATTTTTGTCGCGACAGCAATTTTAGTATACCGAATCGAAATCCCCGTTGTAAGACACGAAATGTAATTAGGTGTCAGTAGATTCACTTTAACTTCTTTCGCTCCAAGTTTGACTAGGCTATCTTTGATACGGATAGCGCCAGCAGGCTGTGCCACTAGGGCCCCAATGTGTAGCCACCTCCACGTGGTGAGACCTGGTAATTGGTATCGTTTCCCAATGAACAATTTTTCGGAAACGATACCAAGCTGAGAGCTACGCTTCGAATTTAAGATATTTGCTATCTATTATAAATTTTCATAGTTCCTTGTGAACTTCATGATTTTCCTAAATTGTATAACAAAATTGTATTTTTTCGTGGTCGTAAACTTTTATATTTTAGCTTCATTGTACTTGGCACACGGATTTTGAATAGCTAAGGTATTGTTGATATTAGAGAAGCGAACAATGACTGCATGACACATGCGTGTAAGTATACACTTACCGTTCAATATTTTTTCGAGTTAATGGAATTAAAAATGGTCTTGACAATTTCGTACTATGGGTTCTTTTGCAGAAAAGTCTACAGAATACGATACCTACTATGCCTGCAGAGT